CCATGAACACACATGAATCAGAACAATGGCTGGAAGCCATGAAAAGGGAGCTTGACTCAATAGAGAGAAACAATGTATGGGAGCTATGTGACTTACCAGAAGATAGGTCCATAGGATGTAAATGGGTGTTAAAGAAGAAATATCAGGTTGATGGATCTATTGATACATTTAAAGCCCGATTAGTTGCTAAAGGCTTTACTCAGAAGGCAGGTATAGATTATCAGGAGACTTATTCTCCGGTGGCTAAGTTTGCTTCTATTAGAATTATCTTAGCAATTGTTGCACATCTTGACTTGGAACTTTTCGAAATGGATGTTAAGACTGCATTCCTTAACGGAGAGTTGAAGGAAGTAATATATATGAATCAACCTGAGGGATTTCAGGTTGAAGGACAAGAAAACAATGTATATAAGTTGAAAAAATCTTTATATGGTTTAAAACAGTCATCTAGATAGTGGTATCTCAAATTGTTACAAATAAATTGGATAACTGTGTATATATCTTGAAGAGTGACAGCAGTTTTATAATATTATCTCTGTATATAGATGATATTTTGCTGGCTGGAAATGATATAGAAGTGCTGAACAGAATCAAATCAGCACTTAGTAGTGAATTTGAGATGAAGAACATGAGAGATGCATCCCATGTTCTTGGTATACAGATCCTTAGGGATAGAAAGTCTAGAATGTTAAGTCTAAATCAAAAAAGGTATTTGCATACGATACTTAAAAGGTTTGGAATGCAGAATTGTAATCCTGCGCCAACACCTTTGATTATGGAAAAGCGGTTGTGTAAAGGACAATGTCCTGAAGAAGGACAGAAACCGCTTGGTGTCCCGTATGCACAAGCTGTTGGAAGCTTGATGTATGCAATGCTGTGTACTAGACCAGACCTGGTATATCCGGTGAGTTTGGTTAGTAGATAGCAAAGTAACCCCGGTCCAGCACATTGGGAGGCTGTTAAGAGGATTTTGAAGTACCTGAAAGGTACCGTGCACAAGCTGTTGGAAGCTTGATGTATGCAATGTTGTGTACTAGACCAGACCTGGTATATCCGGTGAGTTTGGTTAGTAGATATCAAAGTAACCCTGGTCCAGCACATTGGGAGGCTGTTAAGAGGATTTTGAAGTACCTGAAAGGTACCGTGCACCATAAATTAGTTTATCAAGCAGACTCGCTTGAGGTTCTTGGTTACTCTGATGCTGATTTTGGAGGTGACAAAGATGACGGGAAGTCCACTTCTGGACATTTGTTAATCTTTGGTGGTGCAGTTGTTTCTTGGGGTAGTAAGAAATAGGGATGTGTCGCAAGATACACACAAGAAGCTGAGTACATAGCCTGTAGTATGGTCACTACTCATACAGTCTAGATAAGACGGTTCCTAAAGGACTTGGATCTCAATTTGTTGGATGGACCAATTAAGATATACTATGATAATCAAGCAGCCATCAACTTGATCAACAGTGGTGCAAACAGTTCTAAAGGAAAACATATTGAGATACAATATCATTATATTCGTGATATTGTGGATGTAGGTGTCTAAAAATACCTATGGGTGTCCGCACACGGCTCGAGACAGAGAAAAGATGATAAACATCGCTATTAGAGTCATAGGAGCTCGTTTGACAACGACAAACACATAAAGTGAGTCGATGGGTCATACGAAGTAACGGAACTTCGGAATAATGGAAACGAGAGATGATCGGGAGCCCCGCGTCGTTTACAAAAGGCGGAGCACCTCTCGTGTCCCATTTATTCCACATATGATTCAATCATGAGAGCCTGTAAATCTCCTCGTCGGCTTTCCAACGCATCTTGAATCGCCTCATTTCGAGGTCGGATGAGTGAGTTAAGGCTGTTATAGTACCCGCGGGTCAAAATTCTGCTACAGTACCCGCTGGTCGGGATTCTGCTACAGTACAACGGGTCGGAATTCTGCTACAGTACAGCGGGTCGGAATTCTGCTACAGTAACCGCGGGTCAGAAATTCGGCTACGGTACCGCGGGACGGAAATTCTGCTACAGTACCGCGATCGGAATTTTGCTACAGTAACAACAGGTCGGATTTTTCCGACCCGCGCTACAGTACCGCGGGTCGGATCCGATCCGACCCGCGCAAGCGTGGGTTAGATTTGTCTCGCGCGCGCTGTTTCGATCTCAGTTCGGTTTTTTGACGGTTTTTCTCGGGATTTGGTCGTTCTTGAGGTTCCTAACTGACTTGATATCTTCCCCTAACATGGTTAATCAGTTATTAACTAAAGATATGGACAAATCATTCATTCTCATCCAAAAAACCCCCAACCGAAGCCTATAAATACGAGCTCGGGAGCTCATTTCAAGGGGGGATTAATTATCAAGAGGAGGAGGTGCTGCCGGATTGTGGAGTCAAAGGAGCACGAATTTCAGCGAGGGTTGACAGATCTTGGCGAGTTCTTCGGCATAAAGAAGGAGAGTTCGAGAGATCCGACACCCGTTCCCGTCCGTTTCTCGAGATTTGGCTTGGTCTTAATCTCTAGAAGAGCTACTGATTTCGCTTGGTCGATCTCAGCGTTTCAAATCAAATACTTCCTCGGTGAAGGCGAAGCTCTGCTGAATTTTCCATCAACCGGATCTAGATCAAAGGCGGTCCACGGATAAACCCCGGCACAGGAAAAGATCCCACGCAAGCAGAAGACCGATAAACGATCTCTGCGTTTGTTTGACGAGAACTGTATTTTTTCGTTTTCATTGTGTAAAAGTCTTATAAAAAGACTATCTTTTTGTTTTCATTGTAACGACCGAAGCTGTAATGAATACCGCAATGAATACAATAATTTTCGACGCAAACAGTGGAAAAAGAAGAAGTATGTGTGACTTATATTCTTACTAGTGACATGATTATTGATCCCTTGACGAAGGGTATCCCAGTAGGTACATTCATCAAACATGTTAGTTTGATGGGACTTAGAAATGTCTAAGCAAATGAAACTTTCATAAATGATGAAAGGAGACAATCATGGATAATGGTTGTACTCAGTTTATTCACGAAGAGTGAAAAATGTATACATCTCACGAATAGTGGGAGTATGAAATTACATCTTGAGTAACATCCCACGGATAGTGAGAGTGTGCTTGGAAAGTATTTGGCCATTTCGGCTAAGTGGGAGATGTAAGTGGGTTTGGCCTCATGGGGCAAATTGTTACCCAACCCATTAAAGAAATCAACCCGTTTTGTTGGGAATATCCCACGTTCTGGGATTTCTTCCGTTGGAGAGATCGAGTCTTATGAAGAAACGGAGAATGTGGGATTCAGAGAGATTTCAGGGCGGTTATTTGGGGACGGAGAGGGGGATAGAACGCCTATATATAGAGAGGAGTTCCTCTCCTCTGTAGAATCACAACCGAGAACGATCTCCGGGGGATAGAACGCCTATATATAGAGAGGAGTTCCTCTCCTCTGTAGAATCACAACCGAGAACGATCTCCACCGGAGTCCCCAAATACAGTCCGAGAGGAGTTCCTCTCCTCTGTAGAATCACAACCGAGAACGATCTCCACCGGAGTCCCCAAATACAGTCCTTCTCTTGTTCCTTCAGTATCTTCGGTAGTTATTATAGAAATATTTCTAGGAGTAAGTCCCGACGATTAACAGCATATATTAAAGTGCTACTTTCTTACAACTTGGGGGTACTAAAGTATATTTTTTTAAATAACTTAGGGTATTAAAATGCTACTTTTAACAGTTTAGAATATTTAAGTGCAAAGATTGTGAAACAATAGGATTTAAGTGCTAGTTTTTTTACAACTCGGTATACTATACATGCTATTTTTTTTACAACTTAAAGTATTAAAATATTACTTTTGCAACTTAGAGTATTTAATTGTAAATGTATGGAAACAATAGGATATGTAAATGACATTTAGCCCACAAAGTGCTTTATATTCCTCCCTTGAATAATTTATTTATGATATTAAAAAGGGCCCTTATACATTAAAACACTAAATATAGTATGTTGTTAAAATACTGATTTGTGATTATTCTATTTTGAGATGCACATGAGATGATGGGATAAGGCTTGGTATTTGGTTTATGGAATCCTTGCATGAGCAAGCGGGATCACGTGGGAGTATCCTATAAAATTAGGAAGAAATGAAGAATAGACAAAAAGCATCCAAGCAAACTTTGACTGGTCAAGTTCTTCACAAGGCTCTCCAGCTAGGGTATGAGAAAATATTGAACAACTCGTGAGCACATCTTAGCATTTGCTATTTTTTAGCTTAAGCCTTTTAGCTCTACAATCTATCTAAAATAACAAGTTTCAGAAGAACTAGTCAAGAAATTAGTCTAAATATTGTTATTTGCACATAAGGATAAATCAATTATTATTCTAATTTTTATGGTATACATGATGTACTGTTTCTATGGTAGCCATTTATCTGATTAGTTGGAATATTAAGAAAATAACGCTTCTCATGATTGATTCAATAAATTTTGAATCTAAAAAGAAATGCTCAGAGATAAATCATATATCCTAATGGAATATCAAGTTAATTACGACTTTGGAGCTTGCTAGGAGGAAAAAATATTATACAATTCTATAACAGATTTTACAGAATTTCTCTAGGACCAACAATGCGCAAGATTTGAAGCAACAAAAACTACACTCGAGTATGTTATTTTTATGGGCTCATACTATCATACCACATTTTGGAAAGTCTATACTTTTTTTTTAAAGATAGATCTGATTCTTTTTCGTCTTTAATAGAAATTTCAACTACTATTCATTTGCAGGCCATGAACAGAGAAACATCCTAACACTAGAACTACAAATAAAACTGAAGAAACAGAGCAAAGGAACAGAGCATCTATTCATTTATTTCCCTCTAATTTTAGAACAAAAACTTTGAACAAAACAACTTTCATATATATATATATATATATATGTACATAACACAAGAACAACACTCCATGTATACAAACAAACAGAAAGGTTTCATATCAAAATATGATACATTAACTAACTACCCGAAAATTTTCTCCTCAGTCTTTATCCTCTTTCCCTCCTTCAAGCTCATATCAACACCTCCATAGCTCCATCCGCTGATGCTGCCGTCGTCGCCGAGTCCACTGTTCCCCGCCTGGATCTCCTTGAACATCGCCATCACCTTCACCATCGTTGGCCGCCTCATCGGCCGGTCATCCAAACAAGCACAGGCTATCTTCAAATGCTCCAAAAGCTCAAGCTCAAGCGTAGGATCCTCTTTCAACAGCTGAGGATCGAAAACATCCCTTATTCTGAGTTTACAATGTTGCTTCACCCACCCTACCAAATTGTTGTCCCCAAAATCCGGCGAATCCGTCGGCTGCTTCCCCGTCAACAACTCCAGCAACACGACGCCGTAGCTGTAAACGTCGCCTTTCGTCGTGCATCGGAAGCTCTGGTAGTACTCCGGCGGAACGTAGCCTGGCGTGCCTGCGAGCGTCGACACACTCAGATGCGTGTCCATCGCGCTCATCATCCTTGCCATTCCAAAATCAGAAACCCTAGCTTCCAGGTTTTCGTCAAGAAGCACATTGCTGGACTTCATGTCTCGGTGAATTATGTGAGGAATGCAGCTATGATGGAGAAATGCAAGACCTCGAGCTGCGCCCACTGCAATCTTTCTCCTCGCCGCCCAATTCAGCTTCATGCCGGACTTTTTCCGATCATGTAGAACATCTTCTAAGCTGCCGTACTTCATGTACTCATAGACTAGCAAGCGTTCGTCACCAACTCTACAGTAGCCTAACAAGGGAACTAGATTCCGGTGCTTGACTTTTCCGATGGTTTCCATTTCCGCGGTGAACTCCCGGTCGCCTTGTCCACTGATGTGTATCAGTTTCTTGATGGCGACGATGCTGGTGTCTTTGAGTTGGGCTTTGTAGACGTCGCCAAATCCGCCAGAGCCAATCAGGCTATCATCGTGGAAGCCATTGGTGGCGTCGAGGAGATCTTGAAATGTTAGCTTCTGAAGGGGCTTTTCGAATGTGGCGAGGCTGATGCTCATTGCCTCTTTCGTCCCTGTCAGCTTCCAGTTCTTGTTCGTGGTGTAGCCGGAGTCTGAGTTGCTGTTGTCTATATAGATGTCTCGGAGATTGTTGCTGTTTTCATTCTCCTTCATCCTTCTCCTTTCTCTTTTCCTGCTCTCTACCACGACGATGACGAGGGCGAAAATGCAGAAGAAAGCTAAGAGCAATCCCATTGCTACACTTCCGGCGAGAGACCCTCTGCGCAATTTCTGATGCTCGTCGAGTGCTTTTGGCTGAAGCTCGTCGCAGGAAGGAAGGGGGAACCCGCAGAGGCCTGAATTGTTCTCGTATCTTGCTCGGGGAAATGTCACCAGAGAACCCGATTCAGGTATTGTTCCGTTGAGCTGATTGTTCGATAGATCAATCTCCGATAGCATGAGACGAGAGAACGATCCAGGGATCGGACCCTCGAGCTCATTGTGCGACAGATCAAGAACCGCAACATAGCGCAAGCTGCCTAAATCAGGCGGAATAGCACCGGAGAGAAGATTATGACCGAGATTGAGTATCATAAGATAATACATTTTGCCCAGTTCCTTCGGAATCGGACCATTGAGCTCATTATAAGAAAGATCAAGAAATATCATCGACCCATTGTTGTTGAAGGTATACTGAGTGCTGCCCATATAAACCCTAGTGAAATTGCACGTCCTCCGGCTCGGTAACCGGTTCAGGTCCTCCGGCTTGATTCCGGCAAATTCCAGAAGATTCCCCGCACCTCGACACTCGCTGCTCCCATCGTTCTTCAAGTATACGTATCGCTTTCCGGTGACGAGACCGGCCGCAATGTTGCCTGATTGCTTGGCGAGCTCACCGGGGATTTTGCCGCTGAGCTTATTACTGTTCAGATCAAGCCAAATCAAGCTCCTGGAATCACCGAGCTCAGCGGGGATGCTGCCATAGAACGAATTGTTACCGAGCTTGAGGATTGCTAGATTGTTCAACTTCCCAATCCACGACGGAATCTCACCGGTCAAGTGATTGCTCGAGAGAGAAATCCAATTCAGCTCACTGCAATTCTGAAGTCCGTCGGGGATTTCTCCGGTCAGCCCATTGTTGTCAAGGATCAAATTCTCGAGGGCTCGGATCTTCGACAGCTCTCGCGGGATCTCCCCAACGAGAAGATTCTGCCACATCAGCAAATCCCGGAGCTGTGAGAGCTCGCCGAGGGAGGCGGGGATTTTGCCGGTGAGGTAATTGAAGCTGAGGTCGAGGGATACGAGATTGGAGCAGTTGCTGATTGAAGCTGGAACTGGCCCGGTGAACTTGTTGTTCTGCAAGTAGAGCTCCTTCAAGCTCGGGCCGAGCTTATCGGGGATCGAACCCGATAGCCCGTTAGAGCTGAGATCAAGCAACACTAAAGAAGCTAACTTTGATACAGAGTTGAGCAATCTACCACTTATATTGTTGAACGCGAGGTCTAGATTCTTGAGATTAGGGGAAGAAGCTAGGGTTTCGATCGGCAGCTCGCCGGAGAAATTGTTGTTGGAGAGATAGAGAGAGTTGAGAGAGGAAACAAACGGGATTTTACCGGAGAGATGATTCGACGAGAGATTCAAGAACTCGAGGCCATAGCAGTCGCCAAAGACCCCGTCGGCAATTTCGCCGGCGAAGTCGTTGAATGACAGATCGAGGCGCCGGAGGCCGGAGCAGTTGGTTATCGCCGGAATGTATCCGGCGATCTTGTTCCCGGCGAGAGAGAGGTTGCCGATTCCGCCGGAGCTGGATAAAATCAAGCGGAGATCGCCGGAGGAGACCCTGTTGTAGGAGAGATCGAGGGCGGTGAGCTTAAGGTTGAGCTCGCCGGCGGTGACGGGACCGCCCTCGCCAACGGAGTTGTACGAGAGATTGAGGTACGTTAGAGCAGAGCAGGAGGCGGCGAGGGCGCTGACGTCGGAGCCGGTGAGGAGATTAGCTGAGAGGTCGAGGGCGGTGAGCTGACCGCTGCAGCGAGGGGCGGCCACGATTCCTCCGGTTAGGTTACCGCTTCGGATCGAGAGGGACTCGAGATCGGGGAGGAGCAGGAGAGAGGTCGAGACGGAGTTGAAGTCGGTGTTGAGGGCGACGTTGTCGACAGCTACGGAGGTGACGGCAGAGTTAGGGGCGCACGTGACGCCGGAGAAGGAGCACGGGTCTCGGGTCGGGTTCCAGGTGGAAAGGACGGTGGGGTCCGGTAAGGACTCTTTGAAGGAGAGGAGGAGTCTGAGGTCGGATGTTGCTGAGCTGAACCCGACCCGAATGAACATCAAGAAGAATAGTAGAAGAGAATCCATGGCGATGAGAGAGAGAGAGAGAGAGAGAGAAAGAGAGAGAGTCTTTATGGAGGAGGAAGTCAAGGTTTTTATTTCAGACTTCTGAATCTGCCATGAGCGAGCGAGAGAGAGAGAGAGAGAGAGAGAGAGAGAGGAGAGAGAGAGTCTAAAGATTGAGAGTTTGCAAAGAGAGGAGGTATTTATGGGGGAATGTGGCCAAGGGAGTGCTTATGGTTAAGTGGGATGCTACGAGGTTAATTTTAAAAGTTGGTAGTTTTGTATTTACGCCCTTCAGATGCGCCTCTTTGCATATTCTAATGAGGAAGGACTATAACTGCTGTTTTTATGCGCTTCTGTTTTCACCTTTCTCATCCTCATGAGAATTTATATCAGTGGTCATCTGTTTTTATTTAATTGTCTTGTTAATGTGGATTTACATTGTTTAATCCTTGAGAAACATCTTAAAAGTGAAAATTTGATCAAAGAAATAATATCTGCTTGAAAATTTTACTAACTTATAAGCTGATGGCACTGTTATTTTAGGTACAATTTACTAGACAGCGAGTCAGCTTTATTGTGATTGTCATAATAGCGACAAAGAAATTCTTTGTCCTCGCGTAGTGAACTTATAGGGAGAAATTGCACACGTGAGCCTCCCAGATTTAACGTTTTCCTTTATTGTCTAGGTGTGTAGTATAACATGCAGCTCCTGAAGCTCAGCTTCTTTTATCGTGCAACCTGTTATATTAGCCTCTTCATTAAAAAAAAAGATAGATAAACCATGCTAAAAAAGTAGGTTTATCTTATCTTACTACCTTGATAAGTTTCTAGTAAGATGAATGACAGATGATTAAATTTTCAAAAATATCCACACCTGCAAATGGCAATACATTATCAGAAAAAATTATTAGTTTATAATTTTGTGGCACGGTAATTTTAAGAATAGGGTAGACAGTAAATTAATTTTTAAATCTATTTTTATAATAGCAAAAAAAAAACAAAATTTTGTCTATGTTTTTTGCTGTAAACTTATTTGCTGCACACGTGAGCCTCTAAAATTTAACGTTTTCTTTAGCATATACTATAGCACGTGCCTTTTGAATCTTAACTACCTTTAAACATGCAATGCACCGTATTGGCCTCTTTATAAAAAAAAAAGAAAAGAAAATCTGAATCTCCTTTGAACCACTCATATAAGAGCGTGAATCTTAACCAATGATGGGTGGCTGAAATGTTTGTTCTGCCACCGCCCCCCAACCCCAACCCATCAATGGTTAAGAACCACGGTCGATCACATATGAGTGGTTTCCAGATGATACATAACCAGAAAAGAAATTCCACACAATTCTAACCACCTATGGTTCTCTCTCCTAGTCCTAGTGAATATCTCAATATGCCTTTAAGAATAATATGTATGAAAAGAATTTAAAGTTTACAAAGATCAGAGAGTGCAAATTGCAATTGAAGAAGGACTCGAATGCTAGATTCACATACTCAATAAAAACAAATCGAAACCAAAACTAAAATAATCAATAATTTCATGTTAACTCCGAGTTGCGAAAAGAGCCAGTGGCAGATCTAACGGCTGAGCGTTACCCGCGCATCGCGAAAGGCGAGTGCCGAACGCAAAGCCCAAGGCTCCCTCACGTGCCCTCTGATCCACTCAATAGTATTTCCTTCATGACAATTATGCCCCTACCGAATCACGTTATGGGCGCTGCCCTTCAGTCCTCTCAGCTAGGGACACTTTCGTAAAGAAGATGAGAACAAAAACGCCGCTTTAGAGGGCGGTTCCCCTCACTTTAGATCCGATTTCGCGCGTGAGGCGAAGGCGAAGGCAGTGAAATACGAATTTACCCTTGGTGGGTTTTGTCGCTAGTGGCGTGCCACGTAAGAGGGTGGTTTGGTAACTATGAAACTGCCGAGATCCATAATGTAAGCTAGCGTTTTGATGGAGTGAGCTGTCTCCATCTGGTGCATGGTTGTTGCGGCATTTATCTCGTTCGTCCATTTTGGGGTTATGATATTTTTTGCGTTTTTAAGTACCTTAATTTTTATAGATCTGTTTTTGTATTATTTTTTTTCATTTTATTCAACTTCTAGTAGCTTTTGATGGCGGTCATTTCAATATTAGTCCCTCAAATCTTCAATGTTTTCAAATTATTCCCCCAAATCGTGGAGATTCTATTAGGCTTCTCATATATAACATCTAACTTCTTCCGTTTGGCCCCTCCGTTTGATTTAGCACGTATTTGCTTAACTACGGTTGAGTTAGGTATTTATCTCGCATTTAGGCATATTTTCCCTATGAACTCCTCGTTCTCTATACCGAGATTATGAAGAAAAATGCTAAAAGAGAAAACTTTCAATCATTTGGAGGGAAAGGTCAGTAGGAAAAAATAAGTAGGAAGTAGGGAATTCTTATTTCCCTTTGCGATCACTAGAACATTGAATAGAGAAAGACGGAAATGAAGATTTTGTGGGGAAAATACACCTAAAGGCACTTTAGTAATTAGTATGTGGGATAAATACCTAACCTGAACCCAATAAAGCAAATACATGTTTAATCAAATAAAATGACCTAATGGTAAGAAATTGGATGCTTTTAGGGATCTAATAGGATTCAAAATTTTGGAGAACTAATATGGTAATAAGGAAGATTTGAAGGACTAAAATTGAAATAACCCTTTTGATAATTGAGGAGTTGGCATATTGAATCGTGTTGTTGAACTTATTGTTAGACCCTAGAGGGGGGTGATTAGGGTCTTATGCTAATCTAATCCGATTAAATGTCAATTAAAACTAATTAATAAATAAATTCTTGCAAGATAGATATACAAAGAGTTATGTGCAAGAATATGCAATATAAACAATGAGATATATCATATATGATGAATTATATATATATGCAAGGATATATAAACTAACACAAGGGGTAAACAATATGAACTAGATAGTGGATCATATAAATAATGAGACAATGGCGAAATGAGCAATGAGCATAAATAAGAATAAACGCCAAAGCACATTCAAACACACAATATGATCACAGAGTTCAGACCTTCCGTCCTACGTCTCCGCTCCCCACTCCCGGGGAGAAATCCACTATCACAACCGGGTTTTCTACGCTCACCCGAATAACGTTTACACCTCACAGTGTCGGTTTTCAACACTCACCGAACAACGTCACTCCTCACACTCGGTTTTCTAGTTCACCGAAAACTTCACAACACACTCGGTTTTCTAGCTCACCGAAAACCTTACACCACTCACAATGTAACAAATATAAATTTGTTCTCTACAATAGATAAGAACTCAATTAAGCACAAACTCAATGTTACAATCTCTCACAACCCTAATATACTATGTATGCAAATACAATAAGCTCAAGTGGGTGTGTGTAACAATGAGATAATATAATCAAATCTAAACTCAATATAAAAACTAGCTTTAAAGAATAATAATCAAATAACTAAGCAAATATAAAGCTAGATAGAGTTGTAGGCTGTCTAAAAATCACAATGGATAGTTGAGTCTCCATCAAACACTGATGATGGAAGTTACAATCTGACGACTTCCAGAAGGCTACAATTCGAAGATTTTCACATGTCAAAGAGTTAAAGCAAAGATTACAAAATGACAGTCTTTAGCAATACTCTGACAGAAAGGATTACAAATCGACGATCTCTTCAAACCAAGACGTGGAAGTCCTCCCCGCGTATCACCATCAAGACACAACACCAATTTGATCACCTACGCCGCTTCAACAGTTATAAACACGAATGCAGCTTCTTATGTGAGATGATTGATCTTGATGGCTGCGACAACAACATGACTAATATCATGTTAGCAACCATTAGAGGTGCTGATGAGCAGTGTAATGATATTCGACACACTCAGTGGAGATCATGACCTGCAGTTGATAGAGCGTTATTGAGATGCCTCAATTGTCACAAATGGCCTGAATAAGACCTTCTTTACTGGTCTTTGGTGTCATCCATATATAAAGACAGAGAAATCTAAATACTACAACAATCAACAGCTCGAACGCAGCTCCAATCGCTGCCAAGCACAGCTCGAACGCAGCTCCATCGCTGCCCAACGCAGCTTATCAATCGCTGCCCAACGCAGCTCTATCGCTGCCCAACGCAGCTTATCAATTGCTGCCCAACGCAGCTCCAATCGCTGCCAAGCACAGCTCGAACGCAGCTCCATCCCTGCCCAACGCAGCTCCAATCGCTGCCAAGCACAGCTCGAACGCAGCTCCATCACTGCCCAACGCAGCTTATCAATCGCTGCCCAACGCAGCTTATCAACCGCTGCCGACGCAACTCATCCAT